TTCAATGTTTGGGAAGCCACAAACTTTCAGCCAAATTATTTCAGGAACTCAAAAACTGAACTCAGGAACTCAAAATTTCAGGAACCCAAAAACTCCCAAACTGAAATCAGCTGTTTCAGACTAAACCAAAGATGCTGCTTGTGTTATACCTGTAACTTCTCACTGCGCAAGGGGCTTCACGGGCATTATTTCACTTTGGAAAACACCATCCCCCTCAGGTCTCCAAATACTTTCTCAACATTGATAAGCAATGATTCCCAATGAACAGCACAGGAAATTAAGACCACTGTCTTTCAGTAAACTGAGGTGCAACCCAAACATGCTCCTTCCCTAAGCTCCCACAATGAGGAGATTAATGCAGACCCCCCATCCAGGTCGTGTAAGTTAAACACATGAGCAAGAAACCCCTCCAGTTATTTACCAGTGATATAAAACCTCTCCAGTGTGTTACTATCTTTTGTACGTAGCAATGTGGGCATGAAGCCTCACTGGTTTTTTTCCAAGTCGTAAAAGATGAAAGGGTAAAACCCATCCAAAAACTAGGAAAATACACCCAGCAGCCAACACAAGCAACGATAGGAAGTGCTGTAGGCAATTGGGTGTAGAAGTACAAACACGACATTAGCAGAGCCAGGAGAGAGCAAGATGGAGCCACACCTGGAGAGTCACCGTCCCGGTCCCCTCCCAACCCACCAACGAAAACAACTCGGGGGCCAAACTGTGAAGATCCAACCGCCCGACACCATTTTTGGTCTCAAAGGGCTAACTGCATCCAACAGGCATGAAAGAAGCTGCACCCGCCGCAGTCAAAATATGGTTCCACTTGAGACAGGATCRAATTCTGTCTCGAAGACCTTGGGTTTTTACTAGATGCTGTAAATCTGTTCAGCAGCTGTGGGTGGCACCAGTTTCACGATGAACTGGACTATGGAAGCARTAGGAAAAGTCCCAGGCAAAAGAACTGAAAGCTGAGCAATAAAACAATCATCAATCTTTCATAGCTGCTTCCTGCAGGAAACATATGCCTCTATTATCTCCATATCACAGTGAAATCTCCACATTAGTGTCTGGCTCGCATGACACCAAGCATTTTCATTAGCTAATTATCTTCCAAAAAGCTACAGCCCTTTTCCCCAGTTTCACCCAGGGCACTGGTGAAATAACCACCAGGTAAATTCAGGAACAAAAGCACAGAAGATGCTCTAACACTGGCCCGTGCAGCAAAGGTGTCTGCATCCCTGTGCCCGCCAGCGCGCCGAGGTCTCCAGCAGAATCATGGAATCGCGGAATGGTTGAGGTTGGAAGGGACCTTCAGAGATCATCTAGTCCCCTGCTCCAGCAGGGACACCCAGAGCACAGGGCGGCATCCAGGCAGGTTAGAAAGGAGCAGCAGCTGCTGTGTCTCAGGGTCAGGGATTTTGCCCCTCAGGAACGGGGCACTGGAAACCCACCTGTGGGTGCTCTGCCCAACCTACAGGCCCAGGCACAGGGACAGAGCAAAGGGCCCGACTGCGACCAGGTGAAGGTGGGTGTTTGTCAGCAGCGAGGCTGCAGCTCACGGCCCAGGGCTTCCAGCGAGAGCTCTGCACTGCCTCCTGCWACACGAAATACAGGTTCTGCAGCCACAGCACTGCAGGTATCACCGAGTGTGCAGGACTGCCCCAYGACACTGGCCGTCACATAACCAGGCTCATCCGGGGAGCAGAGTTCAGACCTACCCCTGCATCCCTTTCCAGAGACGTCCTCTGCTCATGTACGGCCYGCTGTATATTCCCCTTCTTCCCGCTCTTCCAGAATAAGCTCGTACACCACCAACCTGGACTAACCAGAATGATGTAGAGAAAATCTTATTGACCGGTGTCTGGCCTAAACAGAGGGCATTTGGGCAGAACCAGTGCAGAAAGGAGTGCATATGAAAGCCCACGTGCATAGCTGTGTGAAGAGGAGAGGTCCAGCAGAGCAGCAGGCSCGACAGCAACTCCTCAACGTGGCTCAGCTGCATTTTACGGGACCACAACTCAGTGCCTTGATGCTGAAAGGTGGAGCTCCGGGGAGGGCTTCCAAGTGCAGCTCTATCTGTCTCCCTAGAATGACAATCCTCAGCTTGGGCTGAATAAATCATGGGAAAAGAGAGAACCTGCAATATCCTGCAGTTGTGAAAGCCACACATATGATACATATGGCTCCCAAAAGGGAAAAGAAAACAAACCAAAGACAAGAGTATAACTCAAGTCCAGCACAAAGCTCCGTCTGCTTGGCAGCTGGGCCAAGTTTAGCAGAAATAATGCATGATTTCAAAATACTCCTTTGCAGTGCAATTCCTCACACAAGAATTCTTGGTGCTTGCTTTCTGTGCATGTGCAAAAAAGATGCTGTCGACACAAGTAGTACCAGAGAACTGAAACTTAAACAGGATCCCCAGCATGTCAACACAGCTTTCCAAAGCATTAGAAGCAAGCCATGGATCACCTTGAGAACGTGCAGTCTGTCTGATGTGCTCCAAGAGGGATGCAAATCCACGCGGACTCTGAAGTCCCACTGCTCCCAGGCACCTGAGATTACAACTGACTTCTGGGCCTTGTTGCCAGAAGCCCCAGTTCCTGGTCTGCACTTTTTCTTTTCCAMACTTTTCCAAGTAGATTGCAATCTTACCAATGTGCTCTTACAGCCACTTTCCTGCTCTCCAGGCAGTATCCATGACACAGAAGACCTTCAAAAAGAGTGAGATGCAGCTGGGATAAGCCAGGGACATGCTGTGAGGAACCCTGAGAGGGCTGCGGGAACTTGTGTGCTCCATGGTCCTCAGCCCCTCTAGATGGAGGTCCCAAGTGGCCCTAAGGAATGCTGAACACTCCAGGASTCTCTCAGTCCCTTGGCTATATTCAGGTTTATTTCTTTGACTTTTTCCTCTCAAAGAGCTGCATGATTTGGGAAGAGAAGGGGTGGGAAAGCAGGGCCATTACCAGGTTTATCTTCAGAAAATCAATATCAACAAACCTTTCTGTGCTACCTCGTCCTTACTTGGCCTCACACATCATCGGAGCAAACAGACTTCACAATATATATATATATATGGATTGAAACAACGACCTATTCACTAAGAGTAAATATTGAGCTCTCGGCCACTGCTGATTTCACTTTATGAAAATTATAATGTTGAACTTCTGAAAGATTAATTCYAAAACTTCATATGGCAGGACAGACAGAAAAGACCATCCTTCCGGTCAAGATGAGACAATGTACACCCCATCACAGCCAGACAAAGTGATTTTCCCTGCACTGAAAACATTTATGAGTTCTGCTTTTTAAGATCTGAAAAATCAGATCTTAATTTAGTCTTACCAAGCACACACTTCACGTTCCCAGGCTCTGCTACCTGCTCTGCTCATGCTGGATCTGAGTAAGTTAAGCTAGAAGGACTCCAAAAATAAGTCAACATGTTTCAAAGCAGAACTGTATTTGTTGTCCTGATGCTGTAGATAGAAAGAAAGGAATGACAATGCCCGACAGCTTAATGCGGTGCTTTGTTGACATATCTAACATTTGGGTTAAAACAGTTGTACGTCTTTTCTATTAAGCTACAGAGACACCTAATACTAAAAGAAAATATTTGYGTTAGAAAGAAAACATGAAAAGATTCTTCAACAATTGGACTCCTTTCTTTTCTTGTTTGCAAGAATGTTTTACAGGCCAGTCCATCAATTCCCAAATCATAGCAGGGAACAAAACAGGACTTTGAGAACCGCTATTCAAACCCACAGTGCCCAGATCCTCACTCTAAGCACAAAGTCATCCCCACTCCTCTGCAGCGGGACCAGACTACTTAACTTCCTACGCTGGCCAGTAAAAACCACAGAGCTGCTCTTCATTTTCCCCCTTTCGTCTTTCAGCTGGGAACTAGTGGCCTTGCACTGTCTGTTCTTCCCCTTATGCCATTTCCTATGAAGGATATAACCCRCGGAAGGAAATATAAAGGTGCTTTACACTCAAGAGGTGCAAAAGGCAAACAATGATAGCCCTACATATGCTACATATTACAAAGCTGTTATGCTTCCTCTAAGCGTCCTTTTTTTTTTTTTTTTAACACCATATGGTAGTATTTATCTTTGTGGGTACAAATAAAAATAAAGACTTCTTGAAACCACATTTGATTTATTCCTGACCGCTGTAAAATAGTAATAGAATATACTGTCAAACCACTAGCATGGAATCTGAATCATGTTTACTCTGCAATCTGATTTCTCTCACACACATCCGTGTATTAAAGAATTTAAGACAAGAGTGAGTCATGTCTCAACTGCTACAAAACCCACTATCCAAAAGGGTTCACTAATTATGTCATCCAAAATCAAACAATAATCAGAGCCAGAGGATGGCAAAAGCTAGAAGCATCAGAGAGGAAAGAAGAATAGTTTTCCAAAAAAGCCAGATTAATAGCTTASTCTTTTGACACAAACTGACACAGTACTGACAATAGTTGCATTAGGAACCATAGTTAAAGCAGGGSGCTGATTCTCCAAGACTCCTGAGGAGTTTACAAAGCAGGAAGTGTCTCCAGAATACGACCATAAACTGTGAAGGTTCCTCCTCAAGGAAGCAAATTACTCATGAATTCACCATATTTTAAAGCTCTGGAGCTCAATACTCATGCTATTGCAAAGTGCTTAGATCACTTCAAATGGGCACAGGGGAAATTTGTGATGCTCTATTTATGGTTAGTTACTAATGTAGCAACATTTTGCATTAATGAAACTCCTGATGTGCATTAATTACTATACTGGCTTGTAACGTTTTCGTGCCTATTAGTTTGTCAATACTTGGAAGAAAAATAATCATGAACAACTTGCATGAATAGGGAAGTGCAAGGCACAGCTCATTTGAATTTAGAAGAAACAGACTATATTAAGAAACCATGCGGCTTCTCACCGGTGTCTCTTGTGCATGAGAAGATGCCATTAAGAAACGCATCAGCAGATCTGAGCTCCTAGAAATGAACTTACCTCTGAGTGCCTAGAAAGCGCTGGGATCTCAGTTGTTCAGCCACGTACAAAGACGCTGCTGTCGCCAGTAGTTCCCTTCTCTCAGGATCTGTCAACTTGTGTCCTAGTTTCCAAAAAGCAGTTTAAAAAAAAATGTTAGAAACCACAGGCCCACACACTGCTTACACAGACACACACAGTAACAAGCAYCAGTGGATGCTGTTCAGTCCTTATAGATGAAACCTACATTTTTCCCCTAAATTATGATGAGCTGTAGCACAGCAGACGCTCTGAGCTGCAGAGTTGAAATTGCTTGTTTTCATACAGACCAGCCCTACTGTTAACACTAGTATCTCTGTTAAAAACAATTTGACAAGTGAAAGAAAAAAACTAAAGGCTGCCACAGCATCTTGTTTTCGTTAGTGAAATGTCACTGGTTGACATATTGTGCCTCATGCTGGTAAGGAATCCATCTGTACATTAAAACTTATTCAAAATATATGGCATTCTTTCTCAGTACTTTGCTTGCGAAGGCTACAGATAGCCCAAGCAAAAGGCATAAAACAACAATATGATCTGTAGAAATATATGGGGATGAAACTACTTGCCAGCCCCAGGTCACTTAAGAGTCACTGGTAACTAACGAGTCCAAGTCACACTTGGCACTTCCTAAGCAGAAAAAATGGCATGAGCATCATGCTTAAAGTACCTGACAATTTAAAGACAGGCAAAGTAATAAAGGTTTGGCCAAAACACACAAATCAGGCTGCCAGGAGATAAGATTTTTTCCTAGCCTGGTCTTGCTTGGGATGGTCAGAGTCACAAAGGAATCCAGCAGTCCACTTAGCAGGCTAAAATACAGAAGGCAGTTGCACAACTTTGGTCTCTCCTCTTTTACGTCAGAAATAAAATGGACAAAGATTGGGCAAAAGTAGCTCACAAACAGGTGGACAAGATTGATGTCACCACAGAAATAGGAGGTTCAAAACTGACATTAGAGGATGCAAAGGGCAAGTAAATCAGTCAATAACTTCCAGCAATAGGAATGATGATGTGTAAGAGGACAAGAAATGATGTCATGGACACACAAAAAAAGAGGTAAACCTTATCCTTTAACCTATCAGTCTCAGCACTGCCACATGCAATCRTAACTCCCTGGTACTGATCGTTAATGAGTGACAACTTCTTGCTGTTATAATCTCCTCATCCCAGAATAGAGATCTCTGAAAATGATCCAAATCAGTTGGATCTGGAATTGGATAAATTCCAGTTCGAGAAATGCTTTTAGGACTGTTATAACCATTTGTTTGGGCACATCAAATATGGACAGATAAAGATAATGCTCGGAGTCCACCTTGGCAACACAGTCATGATGATGAAAACACTCCCATCACAAAGGAGTTCTCATAGGCCAAAAAATGTAAATTTAAAGATAACAACCGCCCTAAAATTTGCATCAATTTGTTTTCTATTTAGTCCATATTAATATTTGTTGGCTAAAAATTACTGCAGCTTCCTCTGTCCGATGTTTATTATTTCTTTATCTGCCTTGAAATGGAAACTGCCTTCGCTTTAACATATACATGCAAAAACACAACTCTTGAAACCCTGAGGAACTGGCTTATAAAACAAACTTGATCTTTCTTTTGCCAGTTACTGAAACAACTAATTGCAAAATGAAAGTCAAGAACTCTAAATTCCTGTTTCGTTTAGATATACATGAGCACTGTAGAATTATACAACACAAGGAGCATTAACTCAGCCTCCGGAGTGTGCCGTTTCTCCAGGTGTTTGTATTCCATGCGTGACCCTCATCTCGGATGAAATCAATAACTGCGTTTGCACTTGCTGCGCTGCGAAAACGCTTTTCTTCAACCATCATGAATGAAAATCACACTCCAAACGGTGAACAAAGGCCAATACGTTGAAACAAGTTAACAACCAAGAGTCACATTTACCTCTTCATTATCAAAGATATGAAAAAAAAAAGTTTGTCCGCATTGTATTTGTTCCTATCTGCATTAGATTTGGCAAACAGAAAAAGAGCCCGAACTGTGGTGTCCCATGTGAGCAACTTGGATTTATTTTCCCAAGTCAAGCAGATAGGCTGAAGCGCTCATAGGAGCACACAAAGATTTGGGTTTGGTCTGAGGCTTCTGAGCAATGAATTTGCAGTCACAGAGCTGAACACCCCTCGCACAGCTTTGGAGACATCCTCAGGAGCTTCATTAAAGGCTGCCAAGGGGGCCGTTCACACTGATCATACCAGACTGCTGCCAACGCTGCCTCCCTTTTCTGAAGTCCACTCTTACTCTCCTTGACTTCTGCTCTTCTCCTATGCTCAGTCAGCTTTAAAACATTTTTAAAACTTCTTGGAAACCACACAAATGCCCTAGCTAATGATACCTTGGCTTCATATCCAGTACTTGATATGCAGTTTACTTTCAATCCACCCGTCAGGATTTCAACCGGATGTCTTGAGACATATGGGAATACTCACTGTAATAGCAACACAGCCTTGGGTGCTCCCCGTGCAGAAGAGCATTCTGCAAAGCACCCAAGCTACCACCTCCAGGTGTTGTCTTGATAGGAAATGAAACGAGAGAGCAGCAAAGGACCCTCAGCTTCCAAAGGGGGAAGTTCAAGCACTGCCCTCTCCTACTCTCATTGGGGTAGGAAACAGATCCCCGGCCTGCACGGAGATTTCATCTCACCAYAAAACGTGCATCAGCTCCCAAACCTCTTCACCATTAGCAGTGGCATCTGCTAATGCACCCTCAGTGTCTKCACCGAGCTGGATTATATGATGTGAACATAAAACAAGGTTAATGGCTACAAAGCCAAGGCACAGCGAAAGCAGTGGCAGCCCCTGTTGCTCACACTACTTAAGACTAGCCTGTACACAGCCATGACAATTAAATGGCAGAACCCTGAGCTTTCAGGAAAGGAAGACAAGGGAGAAGTATTTCTTTCTCATTTCCCTGATGTTATGATTGCTTAAATCAATATTATCCCAGGATCCCCCAAGCCGAGCCAAAAAACTTCATGCAATTACTTTACATAACCAACCTCAAATTAAATTACATTAAAGGTCATTTTTCCCATAACAATCTAATTTGCATTTTGTCCTAGAAATGTGTTTCCTACTATCAATTACAGAAGGAAAAAAAAATACAACCCAAGTTTTAGTGCCTTTGTGGCTAGGCCTGTTATTTAGCACTTGACATGTGACTGCCTTCTGATTGGGAAGAATAAAAATTAAAAGAAAAATGAGATAGGAAGTGCAATAAAATCAGGGTTCATACTCGTGCAGGAAATATTTACATCATATTTAGATTCTGTTCTGGCTTAAGCTTTTTCCCAAAGGACTTTTAATTAGGTGACACAGGTATCAAGTAAGCTGAGACTGAAAAATGCGGATGTTTATTCAAGGTCCCAGTTCTTTAAGTCCATGYAAGCTCTGCTTCACCCAGATAGTTATGGTAAAATACAGCCAATATTGGTCTGCACGTGGAATCACAAACCATTCGGAATATAGGAGAAGTATCTGTGTTAAAGCTGATGAAGCATTTTTAGGATAGATGCTATGGAATAGAGAAAAGAAATCTGTGATTCTGATGCTTACAGGGATTGCTGACAGACCAAGAAACGCTCTTCTTTCCCCGGTGAAAACAGAAATCCAACTAAGCTGTCTGTTACGACAGGTTTTATGGCCCTGTAGCTTCATCAAATGGAGCTACAGCAGAGGGTCCAGCGTGGGGAAGAGGAATGGAATTCAGTTAACAGCAACCATCCCCTCCTTGCCAGCCCGGCACAGCCGGGGCACCAACACTCCTCTGTCCCGCGAACAGCAACATCGCCAGACTCAGGTCCTTTCCAAAGGCTCAGCTCACCTGAAAAGCATTTTAATTCACAACACAGCCAAGGAATCACTCCGATTGGGAAGGACCTGGGGAGGTGTCTAGGACAACCCCTGCTCAAAGCATTCTCAATACTGACTTTAAGCCAGGTTGCTCAGAGCTCTGCCCACTTGGGGCTTGAAAGCCTGAAAGCCTGGGGGCTCCACAACCTTTGAGACAACCAGGCCCCGCGGTTGTCATCCTCAGAGTGATACCCCTCCACTTTACATCCATTTCAAACCTCCCCTGTTTCAACCTATGCCTGTTGTCTCTTGGAGCTCCGGTGTGCACCTTTGTGAGGGGACTTGCTCTGTCCTCCTGGGACCTCCTCAGAGGAACCGGGAGGCTGCTMTTTGGTCACAGAATCACAGAATCCTTAAGGTTGGAAGGGASCTCTCGAGATCATCCAGTCCAACCTCCCTGCATACACAGGGTCACCTGGAGCACGGGGCACAGGGCGGCATCCMRGMGGGTTGGGAAGATCTCCAGAGAAGGAGACTCCACAGSCTCCCTGGGCAGCCTGTGCCAGGGCTCTGTCCCAGTCAGCCCTTCAGGATGCCTGTCTCCCAGGGCTGGTCTTGCAAGCGCTGCGTAAGGCAGAGCCAGCACTTCCACCAAGCTATGGAAGCATCACAGACACCAAGTATCTGCAAGGCCTCCCTTCACACACGTTCTCCAGAGCCAACACACAATGACAGGAAAGAGGAGCTTCCTCCTTTTTCCTTTCTGTATTAGGAATCAGCTAAAACTATGGACTGCCCAAAAAATTATGGATTGTCCATTTGAAGTACTGCTCTTCCTCTCTGTCAGATGAGATAAGCTCACTAGAAGTGGGGAAAGTAAAGGAYGCCCCTTCCTTTGCTCCAGAGTTTGGGTATGGCCATTGTGACAAACTCTTGGAAAATGCCCCATTTCTCACTTGCAAGTGTCAGCAAGTGTCTCCCAGTGACACTGACCAAGTACTTGAGTCATCATTCAGGCAYCAGGAAGTGTGGCCAAAACAAAACAAGCACAGTATTAAAGCAGATATCCAAGAAATGGCAGCTCAACTSTCTTAGTCTTAGGAAAAGATTAAGGTCAAAAAGAGCAGGCCAGAAGGGAAACAGAGTAAGGACGCATGAGCTTAATTTTGTTCTTTGCCAAAGATCCCTCTTGAATCTTTATGAAAATTGGGCTGTTTCCTGGGTATACAGAATAATGATAACAGAAAGTATGTATTCTTCTCACAAGAGAGGTTAGGAGGCACACAGCAATTTCAGGCTGCTTGAAAGCAGCAGAAGGGCAATGTTGACATCTCTCCAACTCTACTGTCAGGCAATTCTCTACTCTTGGGCTGTTTCCACATGCTTGGCAACCACTTTTATTCAGTGAGCAAGGCGCTTTACAGCCACTCCAGATTTGTAGCATCACAGAATCGCTATCGTTGGAAAAGACCCCCAAGATCACCGAGTCCAACCACAAACCCTTGGACACCAGGCCTGCTAAACCAGCATCCAGCTGCCCATCCCTGGCAGGGGCTGCACAAGCTCCTAAAAGGCTCTCTCTCTCKGAGGGTGCCCTAAGAAGGTTAGTTTCATCATGCAGCAGCATTTTAAAATAATGTAAAATAAACAGCATGTTTGTGTTAATAAATTCTTATTTAAATAAGGGAGGAAAAAGAGTTAAACCTTAATCATGAAAATTACTGGCATTCTAATTCTAGATGTAATTTGAAGTGTCATCACAGGTTAACAGAAAAGCTGCCAAGATATTTCTTATAATTAATTTTTTCTTACCTTCAACAACTTATAATGGAAGCCTTGAAAACAAGATTGGAAAAAAAGCACCCTTATTTACTTACTTTACTTTTAAGTAAGACAAAAGTTAATAGTTGTATCTGAAGATAAAGGTACTTAAGGAGTGGGCCAGTGCCTCATGCAGCCAAAGAAAAGCACATAACTGCCCTCCATTATTTACCATGAAGATAGGGCAACTGTGGCAATTACATAATGCAGAAATGAAACACAGGGGACTGGGCTCAAGCMTTCTTATAGCCCACATCTTCATTGAAATGTTTGCTCTTCCTAAGCTTTTCAAGCTGAAAACCCTCCTGGTCTGCTCTAACTTTTCAGATTACCCCCATTTTTTAAAASCTATCCTTCTTTTACAAACATTTATGATATATGAAACCATTTAATTTTCAAAATCTCTGAGCAAAAGTTACCCTGAGTATTTATACCAGCAGGCTTGTGAGATGAGCACGGGGTTCACACTGCATTAGTTTGCTTGCTTTCTCTTGCTGGCCTTGCAGGCGTCCAGCATCCACCCACCCTCTCAGCGTCACAGTTGCCATCAGGGAGCTTTTGCACGTGCAAGCACCCTTTTCAATGGGCATTTCAGTACGCTGAGCTCCCACTCAACTGACTCCACCCTTCAAGCCAGGGGGATCTGACCCAAAGCTCAAGGGCTCTCTCTAAGGAGAGCCTCTCGCTAAAGGGCTCTCYGTTACTTCAGTGAGCTCTGAATCGCTGCTCTTGAGGAAGCATCCTTGACCTGAAAGTCTAAAGCTTTTAATRGTGATCCCTGCATTGCAGTTACCATTAAGGCTACATGTGTTTGATGCATGGGAGGAAGTTTGCGAGACATTTTTCATTGCAGCAACCAAGCTTAGTCTTTTCACTTGTGTTGTTCACCTATGGTAACTATCASAGTATATTTTTCTAGAATGAGAGCTTCCTGTCTTTGAGACTCTGTTAATGTCGTATTTTCTACCTCACACTGTAACACTACCCATGTTTTTTGCATCAGTGTGTATGTATACGCAATGTTCTTCAAGTCCTATGACTCCAAGACAACTTTCTTGTCATCCTGCAATTTGGGAACCAACAAATACTTGGCATATATGGTTTAACATTTCAATAATATTAAAAACAAAAAAATAAAAGATAGACCAAAGCTCCTCCCTAGAGTGAAACATAAAGAGCACGGGATCTTTCTCCTGGGCCAACACCACCAGTCCCATGTTCTCTGCGGTCCCAGGGGTGACCAAAGGCCCCAGAGGAGCGTTCTCACAAACGGAGCTCAGCGGTGTGTCAGGCAAGGTTGCCCTCYCACAACTCGGTGCAAAGCTTGGTCSCAGCTTGCAGCCTCTCCTTCCTTCCCCATTCCCTGCCACCCATTCCCAGCCGGTCACGCACTTGGCAACTCTGTAGCTCGCCAGATGCCTTCATGGGCTAAATCAAGCCCGTAAATCAGGTCCAGGGACTGCCAAAGCGGCAGTCGTGCCCAAAGCGGGATTAGGTTCCAAGGCTTCTGCCACCTTGGAAGAATAAGGGAAGAAAAAAAATCCATAAGACCCAAATAAGGAAAGAGATGGGCAATYAGCAGCAACATGCTTTGCACAGGAGGGTTCTGCCTCTGAACAGCARGTTCTGCCTTAGCTGAACGTCCCCTGAGGCGCAAGGCAAGCAAGGGAATGAGTCCTTAACCACACAGGTCAAGGAAGCACCTACAGCAGATTAACTGAAAGGAAAGGCAACCTTTACAAGTTTGATCCTTGCAAAGGGAAACCCCTTTACTCATTTGCTAACATTTTTCTATCAGCCTTGTTAAATGTTTGGGGACAAAGTTGGTTGAGTGCTGCAAATAAGCATTTCATCGTGTAGGACAACCTAGTCTAGGACTTTGCAATCATTTCAACGTGATACTACTGCCCGTTACTCTCTATAGTGAATATTAACAACTCGGTTACAGCAATATGATGACCAAATGCCCAGGTCCTGCAAACAATTCTACAGTGAACACAAGGGGCTAAGAAGGTGTTTCTAAAACACGCTGCAGACCTGCTGAAGAAACAGTAACGTGGTTAGAGAAAATTATATCTTCTGTTGACAGCAGGAGCACTGTCTGTAACGAAGCAAGAGAGCACGGTGGAGTTGAACTGCTGCTTACCTTACATATTTCATACCATCTCACCTACAAGTTATTTTCTTTGCCTTTGATCATATTTCATTTAGTATCTGTCACTAGTAACATGCATTTACCTCATTAAAAGTAAAGGAAAAAYACTGTTTCAATTTTATTGTGTGCTGTTAAAAATCTCAGTGCATGTATACAGACAAAAATTTGAACAAAAAGTGATTACAGAAGAGATCAGTCAGCAAGTAAAGTAATAACAATCAGAGCAAAACCTCCCAAAGAGMAAGAAATGAGATTCCCAAGAGGAACAAACCTTTAAAACCATCAGGATAGACTTCAGGAAGAAATTTAGTGCTGATATCTCCTTGAACGAAGCGTGGATGGATGATCACTTCTCTCAGTAAAGAAATATTGTGCGTTACACCTAAAAACAAGGCACCAAAACAAAATCAGGAGAACATATTAACCACAAGCGAGGTGAGAAAATAACTTTTTAAACTATGAGGCCTCACCTKCATAGACTAAATACTTGTCCTCAAATTACATACCACAGTACTGATATAATCGGTGTAGGTTTGGTAGCTCTGCTCCATTCTGCCCTCAAGAGACTTTGAACGCTCAGTTTAGGCAGCTCACTGAGTAGAAACGATTCACCTCACCAGGGCTGATTCCAGCACCTCGTAGCCCAGTGACACAGATGCAGCGAGAGGCTTCTGCTCGGGCCCCAGCAGGGACGGGCAACATGTGGTTTATATATGATTTGTAAGTCATAAGAGACTCCCATGCAATTTAAAAAGCAGAGAATCCTCTTTTTCGTGCTGAGGGAGCCTTAGCCCAACCTTGCCTGAAAAACTGTTTAGCCTCCATTCCGCCTTTAGCCCCTTTCCATGACCCTGCTGGGCAAATAACCTCCCATAATAAAACAAAACCTTTAATTAAAAAAAAACATCCTGACACAGCTCTGGTAGCCATCTCTACTATTTAATTCCTTGGAATGTTATACTACCATTTTCTTTTTCTCTAWATTTTTCATCTCTTATTGTTCTACTTTTCATCTTGTCTCCACTTTTATTACATTTTTCCTTCTCCCTTCTCTTTCCCTGCTTCTTGTGCCAAAGAGAGAGGTTTTTTTGAACCAAAATTTTCTAAAAAGCTGTGGCAGATTATTATTCTGTGATTATATTTGGGGAAACTAAACTATCATTCCTCACCCTCCATCCCTCTCCATAATACTGTTCCTGAAAGCTCCACAGCTCCATGGCCGCTGTCACTGTCCTGTGGTTCTTCCAAGYAAAATGCTGTAAATTCTGTAAGCCTCCCCTACAAACAGGTAAGAGATTCATCTGCTTTCTCAAAGAGGAATAAACCCTCTTCCRGTGTAGATGGGACAAAACACAAGCAGAAATAGATGTCATCACGAGAGAGGTACCAAGGACAGTCAGCAGTGGGAAAGGCTGCCTGGGAAGAGGTTGGGAAAGCAATAAAAGTGCCTAAAACCAGGTTAGGGAAGCCCCAGTCAGATGCAGGAGCACTTGGTCCACCTTAGCTTAGGCAGCAGCACGGGGTGATGCCGAGATCCTTCCAGCTTCGTTCTGCTTTTCACTGGAGCAGTCTAACTAGGTTAATGACTTCATGCTAAACTGCACTTGGCCAGRCGTACGGACGGTGCAGCACAGGCACAAAGGTCACAGTGAGCAATTTCATTAAGRTACTGAATACGAATTTAGTACAAATTTCGTACAAATACAATAATATAAATACAAACTCTTTTCAGCATATGGGAGAGGAAAGAAAATCATCCATATATATATATATATAAAAAATCCTACAAAACACCATCTTCTGCTTAGGAAGCACTCAAATTTTCAAAGAGAAGATACTTCCTCCCTTCAGAGAACAGCACAGAGGTCATCCCTGGGAAGGACAGTTTAGGATTAAGCAGGCGAGAGGAAAACCACATCTTTATCTCAACTCTCCACTCAGTTTTGGAAAGAGACTCTGACAGAAACTGTGAAGAGTTCAAGCCAAACACATCAGAGAGACTAACACTGCATCACGACCATTCACGTTTCCGATGAAAAGCTGAAATGCAGCCCAAGAGCAGAAGTCACACACAGCAGCTGAAGTGGTTGTGTCCATTCCAGGGATGCTTAAAGGAGGAAGCTGCTCTGGGAAAAGGTCATCCCCACCCCAGCTGGGCCGTGCGCACGTTCCTGCCGTTCAGGAAGCACCGAGTAATTCAAATTCTTTCCCCTCTGCATCAGAGGGACAGGCAGCTCCCAACTGCCCTGCATTTGCCAGGCACACRTGAACCTCGCTGTCAGATGCACCCRGCGAGGTAAGAATTGCAGAACATCACACACAAGGCACGACAAGTTACCCCGGAGCTSTTTGTGCATCTCYTGTCAGGCACAAAAGTTGGAACTTCAGCTGTAGGTATTTCCACTGACCAGCTCTTATGATTACTACAGCGATGACGACGGCTTTGGAAATTATTTGCACACTTTTCCTCATAGCTCTACTTTAAAATAGCAGGAACGAGAACTCATTGTAAGCTCAAGTCTCTCAACTGYAAATTGTACTATTTAGACATTTTTTACTACAGAAACAGAGGTAGCACCAAAGCAAAGACACCAGCAGCACCTTGACCATGAATTGCTGGGGTTAGGGAAGGAGACTACTCTGCGCTCCCTACTTCTCTGCCCTTTGTGTTTTTCCAGTTTAGAAGCATGAATAACATTCCTGTTATTTTCTGCACAGCTCCATTCAAACACTTTGAAAGCTTTTTTCCCCCTACAGTCTGCAGCCAGGGTGAATTTTCAAGCTCTCTGTGTGGCCGGTGCAGAAACCACTTTCAACACATGGAACCAGGCACACTGAACACRTGGAAGTCACAGCCTCGAGGAGCAGCTCAGGAGCCATTAAGCAGCACACTACAYGGGCACTTGCCTGGCAAGAGGAAAAGGAGACCATTTGATTAAAAGAGGATCAGCCTCATTGCTGCTTGTGACCTAGAAAGTCATTCGCAGACCTTGACTTCATACACACGGAATTAAACCCATTTTGTGTCTCCCCAAAAAGTTATTTTAAAAACATATTCTTGTGACACACGAAGACAGCTTAAAGCCAAACAAAGTCTTTACTTGGCTGCTACAAGATGGAACTATCAAAACATCGAAGCCCTAACCCACCTCCCGAAATCTTCCCATTTGAGCAGCAAGTTGGAATATCAGARAGATTTTCATCTTTTTTAAGCACAGCATCAGGACTGTAATTAGAAGACAAAAGGGGAGCTCTTCCCTGATCTCTTACTTGGGCTGAGCGAAGGATTTAAGCACACCACAATGTGAAACCAGATCATCTCATGTTTTTCTTTCCTAAACCGCTGTAAGATCCCTGGGGAGATGATGGTTGATGACAGATGACAGAGCGCTTGGGCTCTCAACTTCATGTCCCAAAAGACCCRACATCAAAGAATACGACGTGTATCTTAATTATTTCCAAACCCTGCGTATCAGAAAAATCAGAGACTTCTACAAAGTTTGTCAACTCTAAAACTCCTTTTAAATTTTTGATAGAGCAGGGAAGCCTAGGTGATTGGGAAGCAGTGCAGCCCGTGTCTTCTATCCACGTAAATGCAACTCTAACATGCACCAGCTTCCCTTCAAAGCTCCATGAAAGCCTAACTTTATCTGTTCCCATGACTATTTGAGCAATGACTGCATGCTCGATCTACTTCTCAAAACCGAGTTGATAACCTCGGCGATGTTCCTAATCACACGCTCAAAAAATAATAATAATAACGCAGCGGCGCAGCTCCTCAGAAGCCGAGGAGTTTCGGATTTGTAATTTGGCGTGACCTCTGTCAAAGTTCATAAGGTCTCCATCTGTGTGCGAGTAACCGCGAGGCTGCAGCCGCGCGGGCCCCTGGAGCAGCTTGCTCCTGGCTACCTGCTGCTTCCCAAACACTGGCCAGACATCAGCCCCACACTCGCGCGGCCTCAAACAGAGCCCAACCGGCAGCGCTTAGCTCGGGCAAAGCCAGGCACTAACCCCGAGTATATTATATTTGGGCTGCTGGGTTTTTTCTTTTCTTTCGCTTGACTCCGGCCGCGGTCTGCCAAGAACAGGATCTTTTGTTATCCAGAAAACGGGGAGATTTCCCACAAACAAAACCCTAAACCAGATACATTTCTTTCCCTCCCAAGAAACAAAACTTCGGCCTCGGTCTTCTACATTGGGACTGCTGCAGAAATGCAGCTGTGGCTCTATGCTTTTTTGTAAGCCAAAATGTATTGAAAAGTCCTTGTTCTCATCGGACTTTCCTTTCACTCCTCTCTATCCTTCCTATCATATCAACAGTCTTCATCAATTGCAGATTCCAATTTTGACAGACTATTTCCCAGTCTCTATTTRCTTGTCAAGGAGATGAGACAAACATTTAACTTCTCTAGAAATGATAAAATAAAAYGCATCTTATATATCCGTAACATATGTAGTCCTGAGGTTCAATTAATTTTGTACTGAAATTGAACCTATTGCCTAACGAACACTTGAGTACACAGAATAATGACATCATTCAACAGAGCTGATTAGTAATCACTGTTTTGAAGGGCCCTCATTAAAGAAAATATAATCACAAGAAATTAATCCACATACTGCCCACTCGTCTCTACTGTATCTTGCCTTGTTCCATATTTTCTGCATTACATCTGTCTTAAAATGTTAAAATAGATCTCGTGTTTGTCAGCAGCAAACAGCAGCCTAACTCCCTCCTTGGATTCCTCGATAAAATATAATAAAATCAATTTTAGACAACACAGAAGTTTTCTACCAGATTTATGAGCAAGACATCATGCCACGTTTCTACTCAAAAAGAAATCAAAAACAAACTGAGAATGTGAAAGCACAAGCCACTGGCAATGTTTTCACCACAAATATTTACTGACACTAAACATATTCAGTGTTGATTAGCCTTTTTACAGTATTAAGCGCCTGTCATCTTGACATTTGCAAACACAAATCTGCATTTATCCATGTAAACTTAATTGGAGTCCTACATGCCTCTCTGTAGATAAACAATTCAATATACTTAACTTGCTGAGAATTTTAAATTGTGCTAAGTGGAATAGAAAGAACTTTATTTGCATACTTATAGACTGCCAAAACATAATGAGGGCAGTATTAGAGGGTTTTTGTGGTTGTTGTTTTCCTTTGTTTAAGAAATAAATGTTAGGAATYGTATAAGGCATCCTAATTCATTTCTCTGAATCACAAAACCATTAATCAAGCCTTACACCGRGGGTTATCAAGACCTCATTACGTTAACCCACCACTTAAAACAGGAACTTGATCACAGCTTTGCACAGCCCATGAGAACACACTGCCAGCATTTGCACTTTTCAAAGTTCACAATTTCAACCC